ATAGATCCAAGGTATTTAGGGTTGCATGTACACTTAGGAGTGTTAGAATGCTCATAACCCAACAACCAGCACCCAAATATGCTAGGCAGTATCCGGTCGAAAGGACCGAAGGAGAGGCCAGCACCCAGATATGCTGGGCAGTATCCGATCGAAAGGACCGAAGGGGTAGGTCGGGCACCCAGATATGCCTGACAGTATCTATATGTTATGTGATTGTATGGTATGTGGTACGATGGGGGAACTCACTAAGCTTCGTGCTTACAGTTTACAGTTTTGTTTCAGGTACCTCTTCAGCGAAGGGGAAGGAGCTGGCGCGATAGTGGCACATCATACACACACACAGTGGTTTTCCGCACTATGAGATGTTCTGGGATTATACTCTGACATTATTATTATTATTTTATGATTTGGTTTCAGACATGAGATATATTTTATGAGATGATATGATCGGATGATGTTTTACTACAAATGTTTTGCAAACCATTTATTTTAAACGAAATTTTTGGCCTGTATTTTTGAGATGTTACATCATCAATATATTCCAGAATGGAATCAGATTGTTGAATTCGAGCCAACTGGATATAAGGGTTCTGAACTTCTAACCCACTGAAACGTTGCAGAAGTTCCTCTTGGAACTGTTCCCAGGAAAGTAACGGGTGAAGTTGAAGAACAATGGTAAACCAATGTTGAGCAACACCCACCATACTCAGTTGAGCTAATCGTAAACGAAATTGGGGGTGCGTACCGTTGATGTCGAAGAAGAGATTAGCCTTCTGAATCCATCCTTGAGGATCGAACCCATTAAACTCCGGAAGCTTAATTTTCTTCACCGACCAAGGTAACCCGGATGATGTTTGCTCGAAATTCGGAGGAAGATTGGAATCACCGCCTGGAGGGAACAAAGGCTCTCTTATAGGCGGTGGTGGAGATGAAAAAACGAGACCAGATCCAGATCCAGGTTCAACGAATCCCTCCGAAACCTGCGTCTTCTCAAGTTTGGCCATCCAAGTCAACATTTGCTTACGAAACGATATGTTCTCCTGTTGTTCTTTCTGAAAATTGTTGTTCAGATTATCCATATTCACCTTCATCGCTCCCATGTCTATCTGAAGTTGAGAAAGGGTTGCATCGTGATCATCCAAACGTTGAGAGGTAGATCGAGTCCCAGCCATGGATTCACCGGCAGCAGGTCAAGAGCAGGTCGGACCAATGATGAAGATATGAGTTGTAAATGAAGCAAGAAACAGATGAAAGGATGAAATGTAATGAATGAATGAATGAAAAGGAGAATGAACTTGTATTGATAATTCAATCCGAAGATTGCCCAGGGAATGATCCCTCTCTCACTGAAGCAAATCTTCAGGAGCCAATACAATCACAATAACAAAAAAACATGCCCTCATACTGATTATTCTCTCTCTATATATTCTCCTCTCTGCATAACTAACTAATGATAACATTTCCCTTTTTTACCCCTGGTCCCTTTCTAGAATACACCAATAACGGTTTAGGTGTGACATTCACTGTGGTCCCCTCTTCTTCATTCGCATCATATGCATTTCATCGAACATATAGAGGGCAGAAAAAATATGCAAAAAGAAATACATATAATTATGAACAATTATATTATGTGAGCATAAAAAACAAGTTTGCAGAAAACTAATTTATATTCTACAAATATAAGATCATGACAGATACTAAAAAATATATAAAAATTCAATATAGGCATGATTTATATACCCGCGTCTTTAAGCAACTTGGATATATTAAATTAAATCAATAGAATCCTATCTCATAGCATATAATGAATTCATACTATTCTAAAAAGTGTGGCTCCAATGTGTACAACTCGATTAAAAAATAAGGGCAATAAAGTAGAATTGGTTAATCCAAAATATGATATTTTATTCCAAAGCCTATATATAACTAACCACTTTGATAAGATCAAAGATTGACTTGTTTAAGTGATAGGTCTAACCACTTTGATAAGATCAAAGATTGACTTGTTTAAGTATATCACTGTATTGAATAGAAAACAATATAATGAAGAAAAATTACTTACAAAACCGATTTTCATCATGAAATACATCATTAATCCTCCAATTGTAGTTGATAAAACTTCTATATTCATGTCCCAACAAATAAGAACACAACCAACTCCATAATAGCACAAAAAGGCAACAGGTGGTTGCCGATGGTATTGGGCGACAATACCGGCCATCGAAGATGAACATTGTAGATGTGATTTAGGTTAGGCGTTCAATTGATTCCTGCCTTTTTAAAATAACGGATATACGATTTTTAATTTCCTAGGTTTAAAAGGTAATTTAAAGATTTTCTCTATTTACCATAACTAATCATAGCTAAGATTACTAATATACCCTTATAGATTTATTTAATGCTTTAGTATTTCCCAAATTCTCATTAGTCCTTAAAAACACACAATAATTGTTAGAAACATTTGAACCTAACTCTCTCTCTC